CCGACCCGGACCAGAAACTGGTCCGGCGGACCAGGCCTGTTTTTGCCCAAAAATGGTCCGATTGACCAACGAAGGGGGGACGGACCCGATCCGGTCCGACCGGACCGAATTTTGGTCCACCGGGCCGAATCTTGGTTCGGTTTGGACCAACTTGAGATAAAAGAGAAAATAAATCCGAATAAACTGAATGATTGCGCATGGTGAGACGTGAGGATAAACATCGCGAGTGAATCGTTGTGTGTTTATTTTTGGGTAGTTTGTATGGCGTTAAACGGTGTAACGGTCGGGGCCGAATACCGGGTTACGCATGATTGTACTGGGGTTAATATGCATGATCGATGTTTGCCATGGTTGTAGCTCGCTCGTGCGGTACGAGTAAGCGTGATTGTGATTGGGATATGGTCGCATGCGATGCGACGACCAACGTCATGGATTTGACGGGCGTGTGATGCGCCCCTAGTCATGCCGACTTGACTAGGGCTATGGTCGGGACCCTATGGTGGACTCCATACGGGTGTGTTACGATTTTATTGTGTCATGCTGACTTGACACGGCCAACGTCATGGACTTGACGGGCGTGGACTCGCTCCTAGTCATGCTGACTTGACTAGGGTTTATGGCTGGAACCCTATGGTGGACTCCATACGGGTGTGTTACGATTTATTGTGTCATGCTGACTTGACACGGCCAACGTCATGGACTTGACGGGCGTGGACTCGCTCCTAGTCATGCTGACTTGACTAGGGTTTATGGCTGGAACCCTATGGTGGACTCCATACGGGTGTGGTTACTTTCCCGTCTGTGTCATGCTGAGTTGACATCGGGTGGTCACGATTGTGACCAGCGCGTGATACGCGTGTGTCGCAGGTGACGCGACGGCCAACGTCACACGAGTGACGGGTGCGCGGGGTGCGCCCCTAGCCATGCTGACTTGGCTAGGGTATGGGGCTGAAACCCTATGGAGGATTCCATACGGGTATGTTTGTGATTGATATGGTTGTGGTGAATGTTATGCATGTTATATATATATATATTGTTTTTTGTTTGTTGACTGTGAATTATCGTTTTAACACTACGATTGTGACCAGCGCGTGATTCGCGCGTGTCGAAGGGGACGCGACGGCCAACGTCACGGGAGTGACGGGTGCGCGTGGTGCGCCCCTAGCCATGTTGACTTGGCTAGGATATGGGGCTAAAACCCTATGGAGGATTCCATATGGGTATGATTGTGATTGATATGGTTGTGGTGATAGATAAATATATATACATACATGCATAAATATATACATATTAATTCACTAATATTTAATAATTTTTTTATCAAATCTTTATTTTTTATTATCTTTAGTATATATTATTTTTTTTTTCTATTTTGATAATTTTTTATTAATAATTTTTATTTTTATTTTGTTATTATTTTTTTTAAAAAAAGCCCGAAGTCCGTCTCGAACCCGAAAAAAGCCCATTGGACCGGGCCTCGGGCCCAAGATTTTAAGCCCGCGTGTGTTTCGGGCTGGATCGGCCCGACCCGTAATTCTTTGGGTTTTTGTCGGGCTCGGGCCGGGCCGGTCTGGCCCGGCCATTTTGACCCTCCTCGTAGGAGGGTGGAGAGTGATCGTCGGTGCGAGAGGTACGGACAAAAAACGACTCCTGACGAGCTTCTGGATAGGGGTACAAGGATGAATCGAACGCATCGGAATGAGAGAGATCCGAAGGCTATGTAGGTATGAGACTACACAGTCTAAGATAACTTGAATGAATTAATTGAGCTACTCATAACAATAAGATGCATCTACCTTTTCAGTTGTTCATCTCGAGAGAACTCCAAAGTTAAGTGTGCTTGGTTTGGAGTAGTCTTATGATGGGTGACCTCCTGGAAAGCACTTTCCATAATGTGTACGAGTGGAGACAAAACATGCTAAGAGGTCTCGTGTTGATGTGTGGGAACAACTTTAACATTCCGTAGCGGCCTCGGATCATTACATTTAAATTTATTCTACGTTGATTGCACGAAGTGACAATGAACCACACAAACTAGCTCACGGTGGGCTCATTTTTTATCGAAATGGACTAAATAATAAAATAAAAATAAAAACGGCTCGTATGGCTCATTTTTTATCGAGATGGGCTAAAATAATAAAAAACCAAATAAAAACGGACCAAACGATCCAGTTCGCAGCGAGTTCGAACCTAACTGGGCTAGTTTGGTCGGTTCACGAGCCACTCACAAGCTGATATTAAAAAATATTAGGGTTTCATATTTTAATTTCTTCATTTCTTCCGTTCCGTTTCTGTAGCAAATAAGAATTTAGGATATATTGACGTTGGTGTATATTTTTTATTATATTTTGATGTTTTTGGTGTATGATATTTTTTATGTTAATTTTTTTTATTTAGATATGACTTTATGGATTGTTATGTTTAATATTTTATGTTATATTGAATGAGTTCAAATTATTGTTACTTAGATTTTAAATTATTAATTTCCATATAATTTTAAATTTTTTCGGATAATTAACTAAAAACAGGTATTGATTTATTTAGCTCGTAAAAAAATGAACCGACTTGAACAAAAAATGAATTGGTTCGATCCTGTCCGGACCAGTCCGAACTAGGGCTGGGTATTTTTACCCGAGATCCGCGGGTTTCCGGGTACCCTATCTCACGGGTACCCGGGATTCATTACTCGCGAGATAACGAGACAGAGAACGAGTTTCGTGAGACGAAAAACCCGAGTTTCGGGTTCGGGTTCGAGTTCGAGCATTATATGACAGGTTATCTCACGGGTACCGGCAAAAAATTAAAATTACAAAAATACCCTTAATATTTAATATATTTACAAAAATACCCCTAACCCTAATTTACCCTAACTCTCTGATCTCTCTCTCACGAATCGAAGCCTGCCTTGCGCCATTGCCTCCTGCCTCCTCTTGGAGTCTTCAGAACAGATCTCTCACTCTCGGTCTCTCTCCGTCTCTGCTGTTGCCTCGCGGCTCTGTCTCCGCCGTTCGTCTCTGTCTCCGTCGTTCGCCTCTGTCTCCGCCGTCGTTCGCCTGTCTCCGCCGCCGTTCGCCTGTCTCTCTCGCTCTCGGTCTCTCTCCGTCTTTCACTTCTCCGTCGGTCGGCTCGGCTCTGCTCCATTGTTTCTCTGTCGTCGTTCAGCTGTCTCCGCCGTCATTCGGCTCTTCTCCTCCGTCGTTTGCTTAGCTCTCTTGCTCTCGGTCTCTCTCCGTCTTTCGCTTCTCTGTCGATCTGCTCTTGCTCTGCTCCGTCGTTCATCTGTCTCCGCCGTCGTTCGACTGTCTCGCCTCTTGGTCTATCTCCGTCTTTCGCTTCTCCGGCGTTCGGCTCTGCTCAGTCTCCGGTTCCTCTCCCGCATCTCAGCATCAAAGTGACATAAATAGTTCGGATTTGGCAGATTTTTTTTAATAAATTTTACACGAGTTCGGATTCGAACTCTCTCGGATACCCGAATCTTGGGTACCCGAGCTTCGCGAGATAGAGATTGAGACATTTTAATTAAAAATCCGACGAGATCGAGATCGAGATAAAGACACCCAAAAAAGTCCGGGTACCCGCCCGTGTCCACCCCTAGTCCGAACGAACCCGTTCTGCATCGCTAATTGCATGTGAGTTGATGAAAAACTTTTCAAATCTCTCTCTTGTTCCGTTTTCCTCATGGTGTATTTTTTTTTATTTGAGAGGGTTTGGCTCTGCATTCTTCTTGATTATTGTTATTAGATTAGTTTTTTTTGTTTAATTTTAATATTAGATTTTAGAGATGCATATTTCTAGATTTGTGAACGGTTTATTCGATTATCTGAAAATTGTATCAAATTAGACTGAACCGGTTCGGTTTAAGTATTAGTTTATTTGGTTATATGAAAATTATATCAAATTAGACTGAATCGGGTGGGTGGTTTTAATGTTGGTTCGATTTGGAATTATATGGCTATAAAAACTAATCACAATTTAATATTTAAGTTGATTCAGTATTTATTAGGGTTGGTTAGTGATCAACTCATTCGGTTATATAAAAATTATATCAAATTAAATCCGAAGATTATCTTATTCGGTTTTTTTGGGTTCGGTTTCTCGAAAAAACCAAAATGCTCACCCTTGTAAGATTAGATTAAATTTCAAAGTATCTTTTTTTAATATATAAATATGTTTGTTTAAAAAATCAAGGAAAATACAATCCCCTATGGCACAACGACGCCGTTTCGGCTTCTTTCGATTAACCTAACCGGTCTTCGAGAATCAAAACGAGTGCGACAAAACATCGAGACCAGATTGTTTTCGCCGGGAACTGAGTACGATGGAGATCGACATCGGAATTGGAGGAGAAGACACTGGGTTCCGAGATTACAATGCCGACATCAAGAGGGAGAAGCTGAGATCTGTTCTCGCCGATCTTCTCTCCGACCCGATTCTCGCCGACGTTCCGAGGAACCCCACTTTGTCGGAAGTCGTTACACTTGTTAGCTTAGAAAAGGGAAGCGCCATGCGTCTCTCCGTCGTCAAGCTTGACGGCTCCTCCTTCGGTACTCTCTCTCTCTCTACACGCTCTGGTTTCGATTCGGGTGTTTCGTCGAACATGTGGTATGCTTTTGCTTATTCCTCTTCTTATCTTTCTGGCGATCTTTGCAGATGTGGCCGTGATGAATTCAGCTACTGTGAAGGACTTGAAGCTTCTGATCAAGAAGAGAATTAGTGAAACGGAGCAAGCTCACTTGGGTCATCGTCATATTTCTTGGTAAGCTCGTGAAAGTTTCCGTCTTTGACTCAGGAGATGAAGTAACCCATCGATCGTTTTGATCAGCTTGACGTTTCCAAACAATCGATCGATGGAAATAGAAACTGTTATTTTTCTTTGGATATACTTTATTAAGTTTGTGAATTTGCTTGCAGGAAGAATGTTTGGTCAAATTTTTGCCTCTCATACAATAACGAGAAGTTGCTAGACGACAATGCCGTTCTTCAGGATGTGGGCATTCGGAATAACTCTCAGGTTTATGTCTATGTCTGTCTTCTCTTGAATCCTCTTTCCTTTCCCCAGCTTTGTGGAACTCTGTTTCTAGGGTTTTGACAGAACATATTCTTGTCTTATTGCCTAATATCTGATCTACTTCCACTTGCTAGAGGAGCTTTGACCCTGTTCCAGATTTATCAACTCTGTTACAGCATCCTATATAAGTGTTCGTGTGTGTATTTGAACCGGGATTGCGATCACTGACCCGTGTTACTTCTACAGGCTTATACTGAACTTTGTATGCTTTTTGTTCGACCCTTGTTGTGTGGCGGAGTGAACTCTTTCATTCATGAGATTCAAGATTCCGTGAAAGAAATAAGATCGATGCATAGAATCTTGTCATCAGGGCTGCATTCTAAGCAGTTGAATTTCCCGAGAAAGAATCAAGTTTCTTACTTTGTTACATTTTTTACTCTTTTGCTCATCTATGCATTGTTCTATGTGACTAATAGGTGAATTTCACACCATATGTAACGAAGAAGGGTCGAGGGAGACATTCCAAGAGGAAGAAACACCGTCTCTTTCGTGGTCTCATCGACAAAACCTCTTAAAACCTTATGCTGGTATGTATGTACTATGTATGTACTTATGTATGTATCTTCTTCGTCCGAGTTCTCTCTCCAATCCACTTGCAGAAGGAACCTTCTGTTTTCTTGCAATGGAAACCAAAGTCAGTCTCTCTCTCAACTCCGTGGATGTTTTGTTTACTTTGATTATTCTGTGGCCGGTTAATGGTGAATTTGGTTTATAGATTCGGAATCATTTCTGGTTAACCGGATTGTACCGACCGGTATACCGGTACACAGTTGAGTAAGCTAGAGCGTCTGTATTCATCCTTTACCGCTGAATTATTTTGGACCATATTTCTGTCTTGTAATAATAGATTAATAGTAAAAATCCTAGGATGAAATTGGAATAAATGTAATAAATTTGGACATATTATTTACTATTTTTAATTGGGTAAATTATATGATTCAATTAAGTTTGTAAATCTAATTGACATTTAGGGAAAAAAGTATGAGAACGAATATCCAGATAACAACATACAATTACCATGGTATAATACTATAATTTATAATTCTTTATTTATTTTTAATTTTTTTTGGTCATTAGGTGATTTGGTGGTCATGGCCTAAGAAATAGGGGTGAACACGGGTCGGTACCCGGGATTTTTAGGGTATTCGAACCCGAACCCGACAGATAATATATTTTAAAACCTAAATTCGAATCCGAGTTTTCGAATACCCGAAATATATTACCCGTGAGATAATTTTTGGATACCTGCGGATATCCGAACCCGACAAATTTTAATTATATTTTTTTAAAATTTTATAAATTTATAGATTATATACAAATAATTCATAAAATTAGTGAAAAATATTAAAAATATTTATATTAAAAATGATTAAATAATAAAATAATAGTTTATATATATATATATATATATATATAAATATAAAAATTCAAGACAATTGATAGATATTTTTATAATTTTTAAACTTTTAAATAAATATTATTTATTTTTTATTACTCGGGTACGCAGGTAATTACCCGATCCGAAAGTATAAACCCGAACTCGAATCCGAATCCGAATCTGAGTTTCAGGTTTTAGATATTTTAAAATGCGATCTCTATCTCATAACATAATGGATACCCGATTTTCGAATATCTGACCCTCGGATCGGGAGGGATACCCAATTTTTATGTATTTTTGTCCAACCCTGATAAGAAGTCAATGGAAGCATTGGCCTTTTTATTGTGTCTCCTCAATTAGAGGCGGTGTTTGTAGCTTCTTCTATCTAATCATTCCCTTTAATTATTTTTCTCTATTGATATCAATATAATTGGACTCTATATCTATGTATTATGCACATTACTGAAAATTATATCTAATGTTTCGAGATAGTTTTTTGAGTATTGGCTGTATTTTGGTAAGTTTAATTTCAAATTCGATTCTTGAAAAAATTTATATTTATTCGATTTTATATATTTTTAATTTATATTCGGATTTTAGAATTTAATTATATTTAGTTTTTTTTTTATTTTTTTGGAAAAAATACATATAAATATCCGAATTTTTACAAAAATTCCAAATAAATATCTGAATTATAAAATTTTCAGATAAATACCTGAATTTTTCAAAAATTTTACATAAATACCAAATTTTTTATAAAATAAGTGAAATCTTAATCCATTACCAACGTTAAATTTAAAACGAAATCCATCAATAATTGATGACTTAGCATTCTGACATCGTCAACGAATGTTGTTTCATTTGGTAAAATTTTCAAAGTTTGGATATTTGTATAGAAATTTAAAAAAATTCAGATATTTATTTGAGAATTTTATAGTTTAAGTATATACGTGAGAATTTTATAAAAATTTGGGTAATTATATGCAATATTCTCTTTGTAAATGATTTTTGGATTATTTTACAATTTTAATTATGAAATTTGATTATTTTAATTCTAAACAAATTATACCATATCCGTTCAATATTTTTCCGTTTAGTGGCATTGAATTCCTATAATTTCTTCCAGATTATGACACATTAAGCACGAATTTTTCCCCATTGGTAAAAAAAAGTCCTTAGGGATTTGGCAATACATGTTTATGAAACATTTAATTATCTGTGATTAGTTTTTGGGAAACAGTTTTCTTTCTATTTTTACAAAATAAAAGGTAATAATACCTTTATTACGAGTTAGTATATAATTTTAATTTAATTCACTCATTTATACGTATTTGAAACGGAAATACAATATATAAAAATGCACTATGAGATTGGAAATGCAATAGTTACTCAACAATGTAAATGTGTACTAATCAATACACGAGCGAAGTCCAAATCAAATCCAAATTTTGTTAGCAACATTAATAATAATATAAAATTAAGTCTAAGTTTGTAATGCAATTATCCATCTAATAATCGTTTTAATTAATTATATTTAAAAAAATTTGTTTTTTTGTCTTGTCGTCCGTGAATCGTCTGCGCGTGGAATACTCTTTTGCCAATTGCCATTCTGATTCTCGGTAGTGACCTTCACGATCTCTCTCTCTCTCCTATGATTCGGATCACCACATGACTCGTTCTCCATCCCGTAAAAGAACGTGCCAGAACCAAATTTCCTAAATTTGCCTACCTTCCTTTAGAGCTCCACGATCCAGGGGAGGAAGACCAAAGAACGAGTAAAGCTCCAAACCCGTCATTCTTCTTCGCGAGATCTTTCGTGGGTCTCCTCCAATTCACGAATTTGATTGAGAAAAACGCATTTTTCTTGATTTTGTTTCCTGGGTTTTTGTCGAGTTGATTGATGCCTGTGGTTGCTGGAGCTATATCGAGTTCCAGAGACATGGGTTTTGACGAGAAGAAGAACAAGGGAGGAGGAAAAGGGGAAGAGAACACGTCCAAAACGGTGTCGTCTCATTACGAGAGCACCGATGAGGAATCCATGGGGAGACAGATGAGCGAGGTTTCTCTTGGCGCGACGGAGGAAGAGGAAGAAGATGAAGCCTCTCTTGGTGAGAAATTACAGTTGGGCCCTCAGTACACTATCAAGGAGCATCTCGAGAAGGATAAGGTTGTTTCTTCTTACTCTCTTTTTTTTTGGTAAACTGTTTCTTCTTATTCTATTCCCCCTTTTTCATATTCTGCATTTTTTTTCCCATTTCTCTGGATTGAATGCGTGCGATTTCTTGTGAAATGTGTTTGTTCTTCTGAATCTGGTAGGATGATGAGAGTCTCAGGAAGTGGAAGGAACAGCTCCTGGGAAGTGTGGATATGAACAGTACCGGAGGTACAATTACTTCATTTCTTAAAAATTTATGAACTTTTTTCTAAATTTCGAGTTGGGTATTTGCAATGTGGGTGATCTTTATAGGTTTGATGACTTTTCAGGTCGTACAGATTTGTGATTAATGGCAATAGTTTCGTGTTTCCCGTTGTTTCATGTTTGATGTTTCTCTGTAAGCCAAAAGATTTGAACAAGGACTCTGTTCTATGTTGTTGATTACCTTAGTAGGCCAGATTGGTCATTGATTCTTTGCTTGTTTTCTAAGGAATGTGGCTAGGACAATCCGACCAAGTTTCCTCGACCAGAATTTCTTTCCTTCTCATCGAGCTTTTTCTTGTTTCACTTGTCTGGATGTCGTTTTTTTTGTTCGTGTTCGTTGTGCTTTGGTTGTGAATGTTCTCTACAGATGCATCTAGTTTCTATCTATCACTTTATATCCGATGCTGAATCCGGCAATGAATCATGCGGTTTATTATGCATTTTCTTTTTTTATGATCGAGACATTGAATTATGTGACATCAAACACGTTCAAGTGTTGTATGTAGCATAATACTTTCTTGATTCCGGAGATTTTACGTATACAATGTCCGTTTTCTTGTGTTACCCATCAACTTGAGTATTAATTTGTGCAGAGACTCTTGATCCCGAAGTGAAGATCCTTAGCCTTGTGATCGTTTCTCCGGGTAGACCCGATACCGTTCTTTCGATTCCCGAGGGAGGAAACATCAAGGGCTTGTGGTTTACATTAAAGGAAGGGAGCAAATACAACTTGAAATTCACATTTCAAGTTAGCAACAACATTGTGTCTGGCCTTAGGTACACAAGTACGGTCTGGAAGACCGGTGTTAAAGGTAAGAAGCTCGCTATTATCGGATTTATTAATTATAGATAACGACAATTACAAGATTACTTCATTGAAAAATATAATCTTTTGCCATTTTCAGTGGATAGAACAAAGGAGATGCTTGGAACTTTTAGTCCTCAGCTTGAGCCGTACACTCATATGATACCGGAAGAGTCCACTCCTTCGGGGATTTTTGCTCGAGGTTCATATTCTGCGAGAACTAAGGTTAGTTTTTAGCCGGTTTGCTTTCATCCACTCCTAAGGTACATTTTTCAATTCATATACACAGTCCACTGTTTACAAAGATATCGAGAATTTGATTGATTATCTCATTTCTTGAGTGATCATATAATTTCATAAAACTGGGATTTGATCGAGACCCATTTGGTTGTGTGTAATATATAACTGGGTCTGAGCTTGATACCCTTAGTTTATGGAGCCAGATTGCGGTGGACAAACAGGGTTAGACATTGATGAAGGAAGAAGCCATGAACCCTAGTGAACATTTGATCTTTTTTTTCCTCCGTAAACCCTATTTCTTACGATTTCTCGGTATCCGGTTTCAGTTTCTCGACGATGATAACAAGTGCTACTTGGAGATCAACTACACATTCGATATCCGTAAAGAATGGCCTGCAACTTGAAAATGGAAAGACTCTCTCTCTCTCTCTCTGTATTGGAACATGTTAAGTGGTGAATCAAACATATTAACCAGTTCGTCTTCATTCATGTCTGCGGCTAGAAGTTGGTAGTTTGGAACAAGAACATGAACATCATCATCATCATCATCATCTTTGAGAAGAAGAAGAAGAAGAAGAAAACATTGTATCCCTTAAAAATGTTGATAATGATTTCCTGTAATAGTTTCTGAAGGCTTTTGTTCTGTTCGGTTCAGTTTGAATGCTTATGGAATCTTCCATTGTTAGGTTTGGTTGATAAACCTCAGTTTGTGAGTTCTGTTTTTGTCGGATTCGTCACCTAAGAACATTCTGTGTTTTAAAACCTATTTTGGATGGAAAAAATCCCAAAAAAAAATATTTGAATTTCTCAATTTTCACAAAATAAAATTTAAATTTTATTTTTTATCAAATAAAATCTCAATTTTATTTTTCAATAAAAAATAAACTAGAACTTTATAATTTTTGTCATATGTTGATATGGTGTTCTGATATCATGACATGTAGATGATGATATATCAAATGTAGTCAAAATATTGACTTATCACGTAGATGGTCAATATATCATTGATAAAAATTATAAAATTCAGATTTTTTTACTGAAAAATGAAATTTAGTTTTTTTTTTATAAAAAACAAAGTTTAGGTTTTATTTTGTGAAAACTTATAATATCAAATATTTTTTGGGATTTTTTTTAACGGCTTAGAATTACATCCGACTAAAATATACAAAATATTTATGATTTAAAAGTTGTAGAATATTATTATTCGAAGAAATATAATGATTAGATTATAGGAATATAAAGATATCCTGATAATTTAGTTTTTTTGGATAAAATCGAATTGAATTAACATTGGGAGTAAATATATACGAAATAATTATTATCAAAAGTTATAGAACACTATAATTATCGAAAGTGTGTACCGATGCAGATATTGTAAAATGTTGTATGAATTTTAAGATTCTTTTTTTTATTATGGCCAATTTGAATTATTACATGAACTAAAATATCCGCACTAATATTATAAAATGAAAACTAACCCAAATGCAATGAAAATTAACAATTTCTATACGTGAGATCGGAATGAAGTTTAGACCACTCCAAAAAAAAAAGACTGTAATTTATTTGAAAAGTTTAATTTATAAAAAATGGGGACTAAGGGAAAATTCCAAAAAAAAATACAAAATTTTTTCAATTTTGACCAAAAAACACCAAACTTTATTTTTTGTCAAATAAATATTAAACTTTTTATACGAATCTAAAAAAACACTGAACTTTTTAAGTGATCCAAAAAAATATATGAATTTTTCTGTGATTATAAAAAAAAACATTGAAATTTTTTAATGGTCCAAAAATATATATAAACTTTTTTCGATTGTAAAATAATCTGACATGTTTGCGTCTCATTATGTCACGTTAGTCATTTTATTTATTTTGATAATCGTAGAAGAGTTAAATGTTTATTTTGTCAAACTTAAAAAATTTAATGTTTATTTGGTAAAATAAAAAATTCAATATTTTTTTTGTCAAAATTTGAAAGTTTAGTGTTTTTTTGAGATTTTCCTAAAAAAATCATATAAGACTAGGAGCCTCCTCCACAAGGCCTTGCAATTAGCGTCTCATTATGTCACGTCAGTCATTTTGTTATTTTGACTCTTATGATAAAAAAATGAGACTGTCCATCAATCAAGTAGGAGATTTAGCAAATTTCCCGTTAAAAGTTACTGTTTTTCATTAGCCTTTTGCTTTGCAGAAGATTTGACAAGTTTACCGTTAAAAGTTACTGTTTTTCATTAGTCTGATACTCTGATTGTTCAAGCACCAAACCCATGTAGGGATGCCAAAGAGGTCCAAAACTCGAAATCCGCCCCTAGTCCGCTCCCAAAAAAATAAGGGTTAAGACTTAAAAATATAGACTCCGATTTCGAGTTTTCAAACCACGGATCAAATGGGTTTCGGGTCGGTCGGGCTTGGGGCCCTGTAAACCCTTTTTGGGCTGTGTTAATAAGTGGTTGGTTTTGTGTTGAAAGTTACTCTCTTTTCAGGCAGAAAACACACTTGGAAACTCGGTTGCTTATAACTCAAGTAAGGTCTCTTGTCTGCATGCATTAGCAACGCATATGGTCGACTGATACTCATTAGATACCTCCAAAATTCAATGGCTGAATGTTTTTCTTACATTTTCTCCGCCATCTCGTTTCAGTTTCTCGATGATGATGATGATACTTGAAGATTCGAACCCCGGGCCTTGGACGACATCCATGATGAGAATGGAACACAGTACACGTGAACATATCGTCCCATAGATGCTCCTGTTCTTTAGGTCTTTGGTCCTTGTACCTTTAGCAGTGGTTAATTTTGATCTGCATTTCGATAAGTTGCTTGTGGAACAAGCAATCATTTTTTTTTTATCGATGAACACTGAATCGAGTTTAAAGTTGGAGACTTTATCGATTTTTTCTCTGTAATTTTCATCCTTGAATCGAAATTAAAAGTTCCGGTGAGTGTGTTTAGTAGATCTGAATGAAGGGATCTATGTTATTATTATCGGATCAGAACCATTAAGATTTATTTTGCTTTTCTATATATATATATATATATGTAATTATAGTTTTATAATGAAAATCAATATTAATTTTATTTCTATATCTCCAGTAAAATCAAATAAGTACCGTTTATTTTCTTTATTTTTGGCCAAAAGATTATCAATAAAAGATTAAAAGAAGATAGTAATAATAAGGGGAATAGGGAAAAAGCCAAAATGGATGAGAGTCACATTTTCAATTCCTCCGTCTTCGCGGGTCCTCTGGCCAGCACGCTTTTCTCTCCTTTGCATTTGCTTCTGATCAGTTTCGCCCAAATTCACAAATTACCCACACACACACACAAAAAAAAAATTACGGCAAAAAAAAAGGGAAAGGGTTGATCGAAAGTATCTCTCTCTGCCCGTCAAGAACAACATTGAAAGATCCAATCTTTATGTCGTGTTTCGGAATCTTCTGAGGTACTTTTTTTTTTGTTGTTGTTTCCGTCTCATCTCATGTCTTTCTCACACGGGGCTCTGCGTGATTCCTTGAATCGAAATCGGCAAATCGCCATTGCCTATTGCTCGTGTTCCGATTTCATCTCTAAATCATCTGGTTTGATTTTAGGTTTTCCGTGTTATTGAAATCGTTAATTTCTCAATTGGGTTCTCCTTGATCCTGTTCTCAGAAATCAATGGCCTTGCCGGTTTCAGATTTTACGATGCGAGTTCTGTTCTGATGTTTGCGTTGTAGGATTAGGGTTCCATTTGGGTGACTTGGGATTGAAGAAAAGAAGGGACAGTAGCCATGTCTAGTTATGTGGGTGTGCTTGTTTCGGATCCATGGCTTCAGAGCCAGTTCACTCAGGTCGAGTTACGAACCCTTAAGTCCAAGGTGATTGATGGATTTTCGTTTCTATGGCTTCTTCCTCGAATTTGTGGCTTTCTGGTGAAAATGGTTAACCTGTGTTTGCATATATGCTTCTTAGTTCATCTCGATTAGGACTCAATCAGGTCACGTCACCATTGGAGATTTGCCTCCAGCTTTTGCAAAGTTGAAGGCGTTTAATGGAACCTTCGAAGAGGAAGAGATCAAGACTGTGTTAGGAGAGACGTATAAAGACTCGGAAGAAGAAATTGAATTCGAGACCTTTCTCCGGGTGAGTTCCTCTTCAGAGACGAAATCATTTTCACCAGGATGCGGTTTTTTTTTAATCATTTTGATGCTGAATTGTTTTCCGAAATTGGTCGGCAGGCATTCTTGAGCGTTCAAGCCCGAGGAATCGAGAAATCAGGAGGCTCGAAACATTCTTCTTCGTTTCTGAAAACTAGCACAACTACAGTTCGTCACGCCATTAACGAATCTGAGAAAGCTTCTTATGTTGCCCATATCAATAGTTACTTAGCTGAAGATCCATTCTTGAAGAACTTTCTTCCGATTGATCCAACCACTAATGCCTTATTCGATTTGGCCACAGACGGGGTTCTGCTTTGGTAAATTCCCTAATGTTATTTCAATCATAAAATCTGGCCTGGTTTGATGGCCTCATTGCATTTTATTGCAGTAAGCTTATCAATGTAGCGGTTCCCGGGACCATAGATGAAAGAGCTATCAACACTAAGAAGGACCTTAACCTATGGGAGAGGAATGAGAACCATACTCTTGGTCTTAATTCTGCTAAAGCCATTGGCTGCACTGTCGTTAATATCGGTACACAGGATATGGTTGAAGGAAGAGTGAGTTTTTTCCATGATCTTCTTCTTAAGTTTTTCAAGTTACAACTTTTTTTGCCAAATTGGTTTACTTTTTTTTCGGCTTTCTTGTTTCGGTAGCCCCATCTCGTACTCGGACTGATATCTCAGATTATAAAGGTACTCCACCAAACATGCCATCCACCTTTGACCTGTGTTGATCACAGTTAAGAGTCTATTTGTCACGTTTCTTTTTACCTGTGATGGAATTCTTCAGATTCAATTATTGGCGGATCTTAATCTGAGGAAAACTCCCCAACTCGTGGAGCTCATCGATGACAGTGAGGTCGAAGTTTCTTGATCCTTCCATAGTGTTACATCATTGATATGAACGTTGGGATTGGGCATGTTTATATACCTCTTTCTTAGCATATGGGATTTGCAGGATGTGGAAGAGCTCATGGGTCTAGGTCCCGAAAAGGTTTTACTGAAATGGATGAATTTTCATCTGAAAAAAGTCGGGTATGAGAAGCAAGTTACAAACTTCTCTTCGGATTTGAAGGTAAACAGACCGATCAAGTCTAGCACTCTCTCAGAATAATCTAAGGGCTAATAATCGTTTATTGTTTCAGGATGGAGAGGCTTATGCTCACTTGCTCAATGCCCTTGCCCCTGAGCATAGCACTCTCTCAACCTTAGAGACAAAAGACCCGACAGAAAGAGCGAAAATGGTTCTAGAACAAGCTGAGAAGCTGGACTGCAAGAGATATATTTCTCCCAAGGACATTGTGGAAGGCTCGACAAATCTTAATATTGCTTTTGTTGCCCAAATTTTCCAACATAGGTAAAGGGAAAGGGGATGGAGATTTGATAAATGGTTACTTCTCGTGTTCTTTAATTAGTATGGATGTTAGAGAGCCATTTACTATACGTTTCAGGAACGGATTAACAGTTGACATCCAGAAGATGTCGTTTGCTGAGATGATGACGGATGATGCTCAGACATCGAGAGAAGAAAGATGCTTCAGACTTTGGATCAACAGTCTGGGAATAGCTACTTATGTAAACAATGTCTTCGAAGACGTTAGAAATGGGTGGGTTTCTCTCTTAGAATTGTGCAAAGAGATCTAGTTTTGTTTCATCTTCTTGCCACGTTTTTTTTCTGATCAACAAGCATTTGTGTAGATGGGTTCTGCTGGAAGTTCTTGACAAAGTCTCGCCTGGATCTGTTAACTGGAAACTCGCTAATAAGCCTCCTATCAAGATGCCATTCAAGAAGGTAGAGAACTGCAACCAAGTCATACAAGTCGGCAAAGATTTGAGCTTCTCCCTCGTGAACGTGGCTGGCAACGATTTCGTGCAAGGAAACAAGAAGCTCATACTCGGTAAAGATTCCAAGCTTCGTGGGTCATAGAGTAGTGTGTTCTTGATTGCTTAACATTATGTCTCCAGACATATCTCCGTAGACGAGAATTTCCTGATTAGTTTACATATCTTGTTCTTGTTCTCAGCATTTTTATGGCAATTGATGAGGTTTACAATGCTCCAACTGCTCAAGAACTTGAGATCATGCTCACAGCACAAAGAGATCACAGATGCAGATATACTGAACTGGGCTAATGGAAAAGTCAAGAAGGCCGGTAGGTCCTCTCAAATGGAGAGCTTCAAGGTACAGAATGACTTCAAGAATGTACACTCACACACATATAAACTAAGCTAAGATGATTCAGTAGTGACATTCCCTGCCTTCCGACTTTAGGACAAGAACCTCAGCAGCGGGATTTTCTTCCTCGATCTTCTCAGTGCTGTCGAGCCACGAGTGGTAAACTGGAGCATTGTCACGAGCGGAGAGTCAGGTATAACAAAAATCGCACACGACCATTGTTTCGTGGACAAAACATTTCAGAAACCATATCTATTAACATCCTCTTGTCCTGAACTTTCAGATGATGACAAGAGGCTGAATGCTAATTACATAATCAGTGTGGCAAGAAAACTCGGCTGCTCCATCTTTCTATTACCCGAGGACATTTTCGAGGTAAAACCCCGAAATACGATGCTATCGGTGGTTTTCTTTTTGGGTTTCAAGTGAAAAATATTCAAGATCAATGGTTTCAATTCATATGCCCTTTCAGGTGAATCAGAAGATGATGCTCATTTTGACAGCAAGCATCATGTACTGGAGCCTGCAGCAGCAAGGGGAAGACGGTGAATCAACGGCTTCGGAAGCTGGAGCCGAAGTCGCTGACGGGGCAGAAGTCTCTGACTCGGCCGTCGACAGTGCTGCTCCGTCCGAGATGGGTAGCCCCATTGCAGGGGCTGAGGGGGAAAAGTGAACCAAGTGATCGTGTGGGGTCAAAATATAAATAATGGATAGTTGAGGATTGTTTTTTTTTTCTGTGAGACCCACTTCTTGTAATAAGATGGATCACGGAATGGTCCTTCCCCGAAGGGGTTCCATTTTTTGGTTGGATGTAAATTTTCTTGATTACTCTTCTTTTTTCCTTAATAAATATATATTTTTTTCTCTTAACAAAGAAATATTCATATCATATCCAATACCATCATCTATGTTGTTTTCATCCCAAAAACAAACGGGTATATATATATATATATACATATATATATACGCACCATATTAGTCATATGATGTTTTTATTAACAAGATTCGAAGAATAACTTGGGAAATTGCATATTGTTGATAAGTACATATTAGTATTTTTAAACAAAATAGATATAAACTTAATTTTAGTTTTACCCGACACCTCCATGGAATCTGTATCAGGGATGCAAAACGGGTGGTTTGGTTAGTTTGGTCCGGTTCGGTCCGAGTCAGCATATTTTAGACCTGGCTCGGTTGCGATCCGTTTTTCACGAGTTAAAAATAAATCTGGTTTGATTCAGATCGTCTCGACTCACCCAAAACATAATAAAAATATTTTTAAAATAATATTAAAAACAACACAATCTTCACAACAATGTTAGAAACACACATTCATTATGCACAAAACTTATACCAAACACACACTTGGGAAAAGGAGAGCCAATACACGTTTTAGGGTTTTCTACTTTACATTTTCTTTTTTTACCATCTCACCAATTGGGAGGATGTGAACAAAACAACAAAGAGAATGATTATTGATCCGGGTTCGGTTCGGTTTAATTCGGTTTTCCACAAGAAGATTGAAGTAATTTAAATAAGGAAAAATTAAAATTAAAAAAGTGATTGAAAATTATGTTCTTTATGTACTTGAAATCATCCTGAGGGGCAAAAGCAAATCCCTTCTTGGAAACTCTCTCATATACACTTCTCAGTCAGGGTCCGGTCCCGACAAGTTTCTTCCTCCTCCTTTCGGTTTTATTGGGCCGTCTCGGGGCTCGGGCTCGAGCTCTGCTATTTCTCTCCCTCTTTCAGAGAGTTCAGCCTCCGCAGTCTCTGGTCGAGTTCTGCCATTACTGCTGGTTCTTGCTTCTTCCTCTGCTTCGATATGGTGTTGGTCGTCATTGACCCGATTTTATCAAATGCCACCTGAAAATGTTCACGAAAATACGGATTAGGGCATCTCGGGTGTGAACTGCTTCTCGGGTTTTTTGATGGTTTGGTCTTTCGGTTTGGCTCACCGTTAATAACTCGTCTGGGTCGAAGAGATGGTGAGTAGTTTTCTGCAGAATATTGATCACGTCGCCGACCTGGTGGGTAAGAAGCAATGCATCTTCTTTCATCTGCAACGGGCGAAACCCGACAAGAAATCCGGTAAAGATAGAACCGTGGATCGGATTAAAGGAAAACACCCGGCGGAAAAATGGATGGTCGGGAGAAAGAGATGCAAAAAACCTTGAACATCGCTAAAGCTACATGGATAAGAACCTTCGCTCCTTCGTAGAAAAGAACATCCCATACCCGAAGAGTCGTCTGCAAAAGCAAAAGCTCTTTCGGTACAAAATTCTGCAGGGAAGCAAGATTCAGGTAATGTTTCACGAACCTCGGAAGGCAAACTTTTCGAGAAGAGGCATAAAAACCATTCGGTTGCCACAAGCGAAACATCGAAGCCAATGTCTTCGAGATGGGTAGCTATCCTGCAAATCATTTCGAATCGAAGGTATTCTCAGATGGGGGGATACCATAAGAATTTGATCAAGTCCCGACAAGAAAGAAGAAAACGTTACCGAGGACATTTTTTGGTAAGAAAATCTTTGAAAACCCGTTGCTCGACATGGCATCCGGACAAGTTGTTTGTGTAGCAGTCATTGACTAACACGTTCTCCAACAGGACAGCGAGCATCCAGAATGCTTCTTCTTCCGTCTTCATGACGAGTAATAACAATGCTGCAACATAATTTAGGCCCTATACAAATGGCAATGGTAAGAAAAACCCGATTGAGATAAGATCGTCAGAGAGAGCGGGCAGAGAATAACAAGTGTGTACCTGACAATAACCAACATCAGAGTCACGGAAGGAATACCCGACAAGCACCCGTCTAAGAGCGGCATGACCTTCCGGAGTGTCTAACCACGGGTGACCGGGGAACGTCCGGGGCAAGTCCTGCAAATTCGCACAACATCAAGAAAGAATAATCAGAAGATCATTTAAGATTTTTTTGCTGAATCTGCAGATACAAGATCGAAATCAACTATTTATAACCCAAGCTTTGGCATCTTGGATCACAAAAAACTCGAAAATGGCGTAACATGTTTGGATCATTACGGGTTTGAGGCTTCAGTCTGGCTGCAAAGATCCACTCTTCTCACATCTAATGGAATCAAGCTACATTAGTGATGGTCTAACAAGTGAACTCAACAGAGAGATTTCATTGCAAAATTAGCGGATTCCTACAGAAACTGTCACTAGAACTGGAGTGTTCCTGAATGAACTTGAAACTGATTCTAAAAGCTTTTGGATCATGAAAATCTCGAAAAGAAAACACAAACAGAACAAGTAAGTGGATCTTATGGGTTAGAATCTAAAAACACCATGGAACAAGTCTAGAACCGATAAGAAGGGGCGAAAGATTTTGAAGTGGAGACACAAATTCTCAAACAATCCTAAATCCATTACGACTTTATGGTCTCCATGAAATGGAAACACGATTCTCAGTTCCCAGATGACAAATCCGAATGACAGACCAAACCAAATCCTAAAAACCAAGGAATGAACAGCAGAAACTCTCAGAAACAAGACAGGATTTTACAGTTCATAGAGCAGCAACAGAGAAAGCAAAACCAAAGATGATACTACAGATTCGGAAGGCTTACATGATCGATCTGCCGCGTCGCCGCCGTGACCTTCCCATCGACGGCCTTGGTCAAGTCACTGTAATAACTCTCCGGCACGGTCGACTTCTTCTTCGCCGCACCCGACAGTGAGAACCACACCTTCGGTCGGAGCACCGGAGGAATCCCTTTCCTGATCAGCCTCTTCAGCGTGATCGCATTAGTCAAGGTCGAGATCTTCAGCGACGATTTCAACGCAATCCCGTCTGAAACCGACAGGATCTCCGGCTGGAGATACCAGTTCGCGCCCTTGCTCGCCTCGAGGGCCCACCAAACTCTTCCCTGGTTCCTCACCTTCTCCCTCACCTCGTTCAACACATTCACGTCGTCCACATTTCCCTCCACCGTGAATCCGTACAGGTCCTGGAATTTCACGGTGAGGTTCGCACGCCGTGCGTGGATGCTCGGCCGGAGGATCGGAATCTGGGCTTGCAGTTCAAGGGCAAGGTCCCTCTTGCTCTGGGTCCCAAACATCCTCGGATTTTTCTGATTCTCTGTCTGAATCCCAAATGGGTTCCGGATATTTTTTTTCCCCTCTTTTTATCCCCAATTTTCTCGTCAAAATCGGAAAACCCACGAGCTTCGAACCATGACGACGTCAAAATTTTCTTGGCTGCTAGAGAGAACAGGAAAGCGATCTCACTCCAATTATATAAAAGGGTTTTTCAAAGGAAAATTAATCAAATCATAATATATATATATATATTAAAATACAAAGTCGGAACCTTTAATTATTTTATTGCTATCACGTTCTACAGACGCTATTGCCTTGAAGCTCCCGTCTCTTCTCCTCTACGCTGTCAAATTTCTCGAATTTTTCAGCAAAAAAAAAAAATCAAAACCCAGTAGCAGAAAAAGGAAAAGAAGAAGAAGAAGAAAGATTATCCTCCATCCCAATCAATGAGACAAAACTCAATACGATTGGGAACGAAAACGAAGGCATCCCAAATATAGAAATGGAACCTAAAAAAAGAAAAAGAAAAAGAAAAATCGAAAATTTCCTCCCAACCAAACAGGAGATAGAGAGAAAAAAATTATAACTTGGAAGAATTGGGGGAAAAAAACAGAGCAGCGTTGAATCCCGCGTCTCCCGGGGAAGAAGAGAAAGAAAGCGCGAGGAGGAAGATGCAATGTAAGGTGAGGGAGAGAAAATCTCGTGATGAGAAGAAGTGAATTCGAGATAAGATTACGGGGTTAAATGAATAATCTAATATTTCTGTGGGGTCAAATTATAATTTGTTTAAGATAATTCTTTCGAACGTTGAGGACTGGATAAGTGGAAGAGCCAACAGATTTTGATTTTGATACTACTTTTTAATGAAATGACTAATATACCCATAGTTGCTCTGCGCTGCTGCCTTGTAGCTGCCATCCATTTCCCATACGCGGTTTTGACCTTTTGTGGGACTTTCGTTATTAAGCTGGGTAGTTAAGGGTAAAAAAGTAGTTTCAGATCTCACGTCCGAGTCTGGAGACGAGTTGAGGGAGAGGATAAACGACGTCGTATAGGCGAAAGTGGGTCCCATTTTAATCGAGGTTGACACGTGATTGGACGTGGGAGAGAGAATCAATCATATCGGACGGGTGAGAATCACCGCTATGATTCATTGATTCCTTTGATTCACCATTTTGCTCCTCATGAGACGTAGAGTCCACGTGGCGTCACCAGAGACAATCCTTGGTTACAAAACGAGTTTAACCAAAAAAAATTCAGCAGTGGTAGACAGAAGATATTTTTTTTCTCTCTTTTTCCCGAGGAGGAAAGTAGTAGAAATTGCATTTTTTTTACTTCCATATTTCTTTTTTTATTAATTATACAAAATAGTTATATTTGATTTGCTTTTGATATTAAATGGATGCGAATTCTGAAATACCAATCTGAATTGGTTGCGTCCGAATTTTTTTTAAAAGATTCCGTATTAAGGAATGAGTTCGATAAGAAATGTAATTACAATTATATTTTAAACCATTATATAAAATTATCTATTAAAAAATTATGCAATTTAATATAGTTGCAATATTTGTTCATATTAATTGGTTTTTATTAGGTTAAACCTATTTTATTCCATTGAAATTGGGTTGCGTTTTAATTTTATATTTAAATAAAAGAAATATTCTGAATGTAAATTGAGATAGCTCAATCCAATCCAAATATGTTTAATTCAAAATTAATACGATTCATTTGCGAAAAATAAATATAAATTATAAATTAAGTTTGACCACATTAATCTGAAAAACGAAATGAAATTTTATCTTATCTCTTATAATTTGATACAAAAAATCATGTGACGAATAAAAAGTATCATTTATCATTATTTATTTAGCAATATATGTTGTTAATTATATATAGAATTAAAATGATTCACCTTAATAATAACTTGTAGTTATTATGTTGGAGTGGAGTGCATATGATATATATGCATATATATTGAAAATATCATCTAAAGAAATCTTTCTATTTTGGTACCTTATACACCGATATATATTTACATTGTTGTAGCAAAAAAAACGTACAGATTGTCGTGGAAAAGCTATTCATTATAAAAATTAAATCATTAAGAAAAACTAGAAACCAAAAAAGTATATTGTTAAAAAAATAAATCTAAAACTTAAAAATTTAAACTGAAATTTGAAATAACCACACCTAACTAAAATCATATCACTTGACTATAAATAATTTAATTTATTTTCATCGACATAGTTATATTTCATTTAATACTTCAATTTTTAACATCATATTTACAGAAAAAAAGCCCACGCCAGATTTTTAAGAGACTATTTTTAAAGTATGCCTTTTACTACTTTAAACAAAAAAAACTTATAATTTTGCATGCATGATAAATCTAATGTAATTATTATATATCCCATTTATTTCTTCCACGGCAGTCGTGGAGTCCATTATATTTATGCCGTTTTTATTCTAGGTGCATTATTTATTTCTAAATGGACGGATGTCTATTGCATATATTAATATATATATTTTTTATGTTTTTTTTCTGTACCGTCTAAAATAACTATATATCATGCATACGAAATTCAAACGGTTCGGTTTGATAATAGTTTTATCCGTTTTATAAAAATTATATCAAATTAAAACCGAATCTTGAATGATTCGATTCGGTTTGAAATGGTATCGATATATAAATACCAAATAAACAGCGAAACATAATATTTGCACATAAATTGATAGATAATTTGGATTTAGTTCTTCATTTATCGGGTTCGATTTGAAAACAGTTTATTCGGTATTATTAAAAAAAATATATCAAATCATAACTGAATGTTATTTGGTTTGGTTCGATACAATTCAGTTTTGATTTATATCGGTTTAGTATAGGTATGATTTGTATATTGGACCAAAATTTTACTTTTCTAGGGATATTTATATATCCCTATAAATTAAATATCTTAAAAAATATTTAATGATATAGTACAATTCATAATAACAAAGATAAAAATGTCAGAAATACGAAAAATTCATTATAAAATAAAAAATAGTTTGATTTATTATATATACTTAACATTATTTTTTATTAGGTTAACTAGTTAAAATTTTTTGAAATAATATTTAAAATATAAATTTTAATACTACCACATCTCAAGTTTGAGCCCACCTGAATACATCACAATATAAAAAAATTTAATACTATTGACCTAGGGTTAGGAAAAAAATTGAATACGTTGGAGGAAATGTGCTGAGGTTCGTAAGAGGCATACACGTCGATTTATTTTCATATTATTATTATTATTATTATTACGGAAAATCAAAAAAAAACACTGAAGTTTACAATTTTGACAAAAAAACATTGAATTTTATTTTTTGTCAAATAAACATTAAACTTTTTAAACGACACTAAACTTTATAAATGATCCAAAAAATACATAAACTTTTCTACGATTATTAAAAAAACACTGAACTTTTTTAGTGATCCAAAAAAATATATGAACTTTTTTCGATTGTAAAAAAAACTAAGCAAAATAATCTGACGTGTTTGCATCTTATTGGGCCACGTCATTCATTTTGTTTATTTTGACAATCGTAGAAGAGTTAAGTGTTTATTTTGTCAAACTTAAAAAATTTAATATTTATTTGATAAAATAAAAAGTTCAGTATTTTTTTGTCAAAATTGTAAAGTCCGTGTTTTTTTTGGGATTTTTCTTTATTATTATTATTATTATTATTATTATTATTATTATTATTATTATTATTATTATTATTATTATTATTCAATGTAAGCAGCCCACGACTCCGTTACCTGCTTAAATTGTTTTTTCCCCAAGTGATATAAAAAGGATGGCTAGGCCCAACTAGGCCCAGATCTTTTTAAATCAGTTTGTTTTGAGTTCAGATTATTGTAGTCCGTTTTTACCAATTAAAAAAATTTTGGCAAGCCCAATCATATAAAAATAAAAATATTAAATATATTAAAATAATCTCCTCGCCAACAGCAGCTGATTAGCTTCTATGTCCACTGTCCCCTCAAACTCCTCAGTTCGGCGACTGTTTTCTAATGGAGATGGATGGTCATCGGATTCTGGAATTGTTTGCATCAGTCGAAAATTTTGTAAGTTCATGATTAGTGAAATAATACAAAATGTATTTTTCATTCTCTCTTGACTTCTCTCTCTAATAAGATAGAAAAAAATGATATAAATACTCTAGTATGCAAATTTTATAAAAAAAAATTATGGAAGGAGTTATTACGAGAGTTAATGAACATATGATGGGAAAGAAATTAATACAATAATTTTGTCAAAAAAGTGTACGAAAAAAGTACAACAAACTATATGAGAATTTTACAAAACAAAGAAGATCAATGATTCTATTAATTTTTCCAATAAACTCAATTCTAAGGGGTTTAATCTTAACATATTTGGGTTTGCATTATGTGAATACGTTTTGCGGCTAACTAATATCAACCCTTTCGGTTTTGAGGTTTCGGTGGCTTCAAAACACTCCAATCCACCTTGTCCCCCTTCGGTGGCCATTTTAGTATGAAATGATTGGTCTACTTCTTTGAAAATGATCGATTCGTCGGAATATATATATATAGTTAACATTCCAAATATTTTTTTTTGTAACCAGATATCCTATATCAAGATCGACACTAATCTCGAAAATGAGAATCAGTCACGTGCTTTGGATTATACTCTCCCTCTCCGAAATTGAGATTCAAATTCAGGACATTTATTTAAGGAAGATTCACATATTAAATATTGAACTTTAACCAAATTTCCAAATTAAATACTCAACTATCTCACTTTCAAATTAAATACTCAACTATATTGAAATTCATAAATAAAAACTAAACTTTTCAAATTTTAACATATATCTAAGGGATAATCCCAACAAAAAAAACTTTACTTTTTTTTTCGTCACAATTTAAACCATATACTTTTTTTATCCAAAAAAACCCTATACTTTTCAAAATTTTAAAAATTATACACATTCATATACACATATTAATATTATAAGCACAAAATCAATTACACATTTATTTTTCACAAAATTAATTGCACATTTATTTTATATATTTATATGTATATATATGTTATATATATGTGTGATATATGTATTTTTTTCCTAAAAATCATTATATATATAAGATTATTTGTATATTGTTTTATATATAAGAAACTATTTTCCAAGAACATGTTTTTTTGGACAATTGAACTCATATAAAAATAATAAATAGTTTCTTATATATATAATGATTTTTAGAAAAAAATACATATATCAATTTATGTAAAATAAATGTGTAATTAATTTTGTAGAAAATAAATGTGTAATTAATTTTGTGCTTATAATAATTAATATGTGTATATGAATGTGTATAATTTTTAAAATTTTGAAAAGTATAAGATTTTTTTGGATAAAAAAAGTGTAGGGTTTAAACTGTGACGAAAAAAGTAAAGGGTTTTCTTTTGGATTATCCTTAGATATATGTTAAAATTTAAAAAATTTAGTTTTTATTTGTGAGCTTCAATATAGTTGAGTATTTAATTTGGAAGTGAGATAGTTGAGTATTTAATTTGGAAATTTGGTTAAAGTTCAATATTTAATATGTTAATCTCCCTTTATTTAATTCTGTTAGGTTTCAATCGGTTCAAACACATGGATATTTAATAAATACAATGGATATTTATAAGGGTAAAATCCCGGAAAAAT